AAATAATATTTTGTTGGCTTATCCTTTAGAAACTATGTCAATTTGGCCATTTGGACTAACTTGGGGGTCAAGCAGATGGAGCAGACAGGGCAAAAGTAGCAGCCAGAGATGCTGCAGTCCTGAGGCCACCCACCACCACGGTCCACAACAGACCACCGGCAAGGAGTGCTTTTTCCTTCACTCCTTCTGTGGCTGGGATTGGGCCACCTTAGGCAGCCATGCTGCATCTCTAGCCCAGTTGGGGCCTGTGTCATCTGAAAGCCATGCCCCCAACTGTTTCAGGCCATAGTGACCTTAGTGGCCTTAAAATACATTCTTCTATCATTGGTATCATTCAATCTACTTCCAAATTTGAGCAAACAATATTCTTACTGCTTTGAAGAAGTGATACATGTTTACTATCCAGTTCTTTATCCATAATACTCAACAGAAATATTTATGGAAACATTACAAAATCTTTATTTTTTATTTTTATTTTGGGGGGATTATCATATAATCTTAGACCAGTAACTTTTCACCTTCTTACAAATCCACCACATATGAACAAAAGAGCCCTCCTTATCTTGACATCCCCAACATTAGTTTGAAACAGTTTTGGACATTTTTTGACAATTTATTTGGAGTTAGAGGCCAACAATACCTCACCTTATACTAGTTTGCTTCATTGCACAAAGTAAATTTTATCTCTTTAGACCACATTTCCCCCTATACATCCATATGAGAATTAAGCCCAAAAGTTTGGGCCCACCTTATTATGTACTCTTTTACAGGCTCATCTTCTGTCTTTAGTTTCAGAAGCTATTTAAACACTTAAAATTATATGATAATCATCTTAACACAATTCTAAAACTCATTTTCTCTAACCTCTCTGGTTGCATTTCTCTTGTCTTGATTAAAAATTTCCTTAAGTTTCATATAAGCATATAAGATCTTTGTCTTCCGTAAGAATAATCTCTCTTGTGAAGGCAAAGGCTTTCATGGCTGGCATCTATGGGTTTTTGTGGGCTTTTCTCTAAAGATGCCAGCCACAGATGCAGGCAACAGGTCAGGAAGAAATTCTTCTAGAACACAGCTTCACAGCCTGAAAAGCCCACAAAAGCCCATCATCTCTCTTGATTTGAACTTCCAGCTATCTGTTCAAAATACACAAGATCATCCTAAAGCAAACATCTCCAATGGTTAACCTATTCTTTCCTTTAAAAAGGCCTCCTGTGGTGAGGTGGCTAATATTTTCTCTCATTGTACCTATACCGAACTCAGAGGAGAGTCTTTCTAATATAATGATTTTTAAATTCAACATGTGCCTTATCTTTATCATACCAAAGTTAACCTTGCCAACCAAATCTTAAATTATGGCCTTCAGGTTCCAAGAGTATCACATCTCTAAGCAATATCCATTCCTTCAACCATACAAAACAGTGGAACTGTTGGCTGAAATCCTCAATCATAGGCTGCAATGCACACCTTTATGATAATGGAGCTAATATGCAACTATATTAGAGAATTGTGATTATAAGCAACAGGGCACTGCACCAGATGTTACACTGTGGAATTGTGCACTGCACATCTGAGCTCTGTGAAAGGTGGACACAAGACCCCCATGACTTCCTGATGCCTTCTGTTCTGCATTATTAGTGCCCTGTAGCTCTGTTAGGAGCCAGTCAGGCTTCTTTGTGTTTTCATTGAACAAAGGTAGCCTGTCCTGCTGGGTGCCACACTATTACGCACAACAACTGTTTTGCAGTGGCCACATTGTTCACTCCACTTATGCAGTGATCCCAATGGTGCAGCTACAACAAAGCTTCGCCCTCCCCCCCGAGAATACAACCATTGCACAACACCACAGTTATAAACTGTGCAATCATAAGTTAGTTTACAACAATGTAAATTCCCAACAGGAATTGTTTCTAATATTGTGTAAGGAGCTATACAGTACTTATTTATGCAATGGTTTTGCTAAGAAGTGGAATGGCTGCCTAAAAAGCAATCAAGCATGATTCTGAAAAATCATAAGTATGATCAAATGGCCACTGGTTGGCTATGGGGATGCTCTGTCAAATCTCCTTCATACTACTACCTTGCTGGTGGCCATCTTCCACCCTTTCCAGTACTTGGAGCCCTCCATAAGTATGTTCTTAGAACTGTAGGCTCTATCTGCTTCAAAAAGGATTTCAGAAATTGTATCACATCATCTATTGCATCTATTACATCAAGTACAGTTGTTTCCAGGTCAAATACATTGATACAGCTGTTGAGCAAAACTCTTTCATTTAACCAGCATTTCTATACTACTTGGAGAGCTTTCTGTAAAGCTTTTGAGGAGGATCCAATATCAGGCCAACCTGCTCTAATCTAGTGGTTTCTATATTGGCAAGTTGGAATGTGTTTAGAGAAGAGTGCGCAGGATGAACAAAGATCTGGAAACCAGGCCTTATGAGGAAAGACTGAGGGAATTGGGGATGTTTAACATAGAAAAGAACAGACTGAGAGATGACATGATCACTATCTTTAAATATCTAAAGGGATGTCATATTGAGGATGGAGCAAGCTTGTTTTCTGCTGCTACAAAGTCTAAAACACAAAGCAATGGATTCAGATTACATGAAAAGATATCTAAACATTATCTAAATGTCTAAACATTGGGAAGAATGTCTTTACTGTAAGAGCTGTTTGACAGTGGAATAGTCTGCCTTGGAGGGTAGTGGACTGCATCTTTGGAGGTCTTTACATAGAGGATGGATGGACATCCTTCATGAGTCCTTTAGTTGTGCATTGTTGCATGGCAGGTGGTTGGACTAAGTAACCCTTGTGGTCCCTTCCACCCTATGATTCTATTATTCACCTCTCTGATTTGAAGATGTTACACAAGGGAAGGTGCAAATGGGAATTGGGTGTGGCATGCTGCGAGTGGAGTGGGAAAATTTAGGATATAGAGACATAAATCACAATATTTATCCTAATCAGGGTAGACCCACTGAATCAATAGAATTTTTCCTTCCAAGATTTATCATTTGAGTTAATTGTTAGCAGTTTACCAAATTTTCTTTGATTCAATGAGTCTACTTTAGTTGGAACTAAAACTGGATTTAGGCCACAGGATCTAAAGCCATCCCCCCATCTCAGATGATTTAAATTCTTTTTTTGCTCCCTTTGCTATCTACAAATGAAGCAGTTCAATTGATCCATCAACTGTAGAGGTGAATAACATTTTTCTGCCTTTGAATGGTGATTCAGAGGTAGGATTTTTCTTTCCAAGATTTATCATTTGAGTTAATTGTTAGCAGTTTAGTCAGTCTTCATCTCAAACAATTATTGTTTGCACTCATATGAGAGAGGTTAAGAAAGATTGCAAAGGTGACCCAAAATATTTGAAAAGAAATATGGTTAATGATGTCTCTTGAGCTATTTTCCTCCATTAGGGGATGAAAGAGATGAAGTGATGGGGCTTTGAAGATCTTTCCTTTTGTCCATTTCAAGGGGGGGAGGAAAATCCCCATGATTTCTTCTATGACTTTGAGCCTTGAGAATATTCCTGCTCGCAAAAAATGCATGTTGATGGTGGTTATAAGTTATTCAAAAGAAATAGAAAGTGGGGAGAGGGAGGGAGGTGGCAGGGAATGCTCATGCAGGGTTCATGGACCTGGATGTACAAGGGGGGAAAAGGAGGCCAGCATATTTAAAATGTTATTCAAAATTTATCAAATATTTTTCAGATTATCAAATCAAGATGAGGATACTTAGGTTGCAAACATTATCTTTAGTAAAGGCATAGACTCTGAAAATCACTTATGCTTCTTCCCTAAACCTGATGACAGATTTGCCTTCTCTGAACCACTACTGTATATCCTTCCCATCTTTTTATCTATAGCCATGGGGTCCTAACTTTATCCCTATTGTTTTTAGACAAGGATGGGATTCATGCAGCCCTCTGTACTGTTCTGCTGAGGGTGCTCTGCGAGTAGGCACACAGATGCACAGTCTAAGACAACAAACAACAACAAACACTTCACTTTATTAATTTAAGTTACATCAGTCTTGTCTCACTATTGCCTAACAGTGACATTAACTGTAGTTGCATTTACTTTACAGCTAGCAAATGCAAGCATTGGGATCCTGTTGGTGACATAACACAGGGGTAAGAAAACCGGCATTGTGTAGTGGTTTGGATGTTGGATTGTGACTTCAGAGACCAGAGTTCAATTCCCTGCTTGGCTATGAAACCCAATGGATGACCTTGGGCGAGTGCTGTCAGCCTCAGGGAAGGCAATCCAATTATAGGTTTGCCTTAAGGTTGCCATAAGTCAGAAATGACTTGAGAACACACAACCAACAACAACAAGGGTTATGCATGAGGGCCACCTTGAATCCCATGGGAGAAAGGAAGAATATAAATCCAATAAAATAAATAAATAGTCCTTCAAGATTCATTGTGGTATTCAGTGGATCTCCTTGTCCAACATCCCCCAAGAAATGGCAGGCACATGTTCCCTCTGCCATTTAGTGTCTGAGGGAAGGATGCAGATTGCCTGGGCAGTGTCCAGCTGTAGGCAGTAAAACAAATGAAACGTGCACATCCCATATTACTAGTGTTCTCACTGAGGATTAGGGAGGGAGACAGCTGCTAACTCTCCCAGCATCTAATGGCAAGATAAATTTACAGCAGACCTCCATGCTCCATACCAACCAGGTTATTTTCATCTACTTGTTTGCAATTCTTTTGTTTTGTTTTTTTAAAAAACACCTCTGCAATGAATGAATGACCATCCATCTCAGAAATATATTTCTACTATAGCTATATATTGGTTTTATTGATTGGGTTGTCAGAATGTGTTGAAGCCATCCGAAGCAGAATGTGCAATTGAGGTGGCATTTAGAAAGTGACTGATATTAGTTGCAAGTTCTTATTCCATACAGATTTTTTTCATTGCTTGAACTATCAAAGCCTTTTGACTGCCAGCTTTATATTTCTGAAGGGGTACTATTATGATGGGTGCTATAGCTGTTATTTCTACATAAATATAACTCACCAAATGGCACATATGAAAGTATACAAAGCTTTGTAATTTCCATCACCATTGCAGTGACCTTTGTTTGACCGACATAAAAATATGGCCCTTCTCTGCAATAATATTGAACTGTTATTACTTTAAAGGTCACTATGCCAGGGATGCATACTGTGGTTAAAATTATGAAGAATAGTCTATTTTGAAGGTTGTAATTTTGAATAGGATAAACATTTCTCAAGCCTGGATGAATGAAAAATTACAAAGCACTCCAGATGGTTCCTTTGATCACTGATTGTGATACAGAATGGAACTAGATTTTACCTGAGAAATAGGGACTTTGTAATACCAATCAGTTCTGACCCAAGAAATTTTGCCACCTGAGGAGGAGCAGCAAATGATGCTCATGCCTCTAGGTCAAGGTATGTATTACCCATGGGTGGTTACATTATTTTGGCACCTAAGGTAGAAAATCCTACATATTCTTTTCATGCATAGCAGTAGAATGCAGTAATAATCAATGGCCAGCAAGCAGCAGTGGTAGCCCTGGCCCAGTGCCAACAGCAGAAGAAGAGTTGGTGGCAGAAAAGGAGGAAGAGGTAGAGGAGAGAGCAGCCTCAACCTCATAGCCTTCACAATGATTTCTGCTACTATGACCCTTGTACCAGCACAGCAGTGGTGATCGCCTGGAAGAGATGTTGGAACAGCCCTGGAGTAATTGGGCCGATGCTGCTAAACTGCATGGAAACAAGAAAGTGCCTTAGAAGAAAGTTTCAAGGAATATGGAAAAAACTGAGAAGCAAGGCAATTCTTTTACAGAAGAAAGAAAGGGGAGAGAAATAACTGTAGAGATGGAGGCAGAAGCATCCATAGTTGTCTGCTGCAAGGTATGTGCAATGTTTGCCTTCTTTGCAGAAAATATCACCAGCTACACCTACAGCAAGTGCAAGTTAGTAGCTCTCTTTGAAGAGGTGGTCAGTGTACTCCAGCTACATGTTGAATTCCTTCAGTGCATCAGAGAACAGGAGGACTCACTGGATAGAAAACAGGGAGAAGTGATCATGCAGAATGAACAAGAAGAAACTACCTAAGAAAATGAAGAGGCCTGCAATAGTAAGGAAACACCATGAAGAAAAGTTAAGAGCAGACTATGCAGTGATTCAGAAGCTTTCCAACTAAGCAATTGCTTCCTACATCTTTATGAGGATAGCGGCAGTGGAGATACTCAAACAGGAAACCAGCAACAAGGGATACTGCATGCCAAGAAAGGAATCAAACAGTTGCCAACCACAAAATGAAAGATGTTGTTGGGGGCTCATTGCTCAGAGGTATAGAGGCACCTGTGTGAAACCTGACAATATAAATGTGTCCTGGTGCACATATCTGCAATGTCACTGACAACTTCCCAAAACTCATCAAGAACAAGATCAGTACCCCTTTCTTCTTATTCATGTCTCAAGAAACAGGGTTGGATGATAAAAGGATTTTAACTGAA